TATTTATATTACATATTTTATTTTCATAGTATATCTGTCTTTTTTCATATTGAGTTTATTGTTTTTTAAATAGGGCAGCACAGTGGCTAAATGGTTAGCACTTCCACCTGGCAGTGCACGGGCCGTTGGTTCGAATCCCAACCATGGCACCAGCTGCCTGGAGTTTAGTTTGCATGTTCTCCCTGTGCCTGTGTGGGTTTCCTCCCATAGTCCAAAGTCATGCTGATAGGTTAATTGGCTCCTGTCTAAATTAGTCCTAGTATGTGTATGTATAAATGTGAGTTAGGAACCTTAGGCTGTACACTCCTTCAGGGTTAGGTACTGATGTGAATGTGCAATATATATACTGTATGTAAAGCAATTCATAAATTAACAAGGCTATATAAATAAAATAAACTGAGTTTTACTGAAAAAATGCCAGTCAGACCAAAACAAATGCAAATTTGACAGTTACATAACCATCATACAATATACAGGAGCATTATTGCAATACAGAAAAGGTCCCATAAACCGTACATGAATTGTAGAGTAATTACCCAAATAATAAGTAGGACGCTGTCCATAACAGTGTCTGAATCACATCAATCATAAGATATACCAAGCAAAAAAATAAAAACATAAAAACACAATAAGAAATAGGGAAAAAAAACTAAGCAAAACAGTGCAGGAGCATCCTGCGTACAGGAAACTATACTGGCATTACCCTAAAGTAGTATGGTAATATACAAAGTCCATTCACCTGTATAGAAAATAAAACAAAGGTTATTGGTCAGTGCAGAGGTCCGAGGAAAAAAAAAAAAGGTCCATAGACAAAATATATTACAGTAACAAACAATGCACTAAAATGTTACAGCCTTAAATGGGATCAGAAATCAAAGATAGCAATGAATCACTAGTATCTTGAGTATCAAGCCAGGGACCCCAAAGCTTTTTTTTGGAATATCCTCTGACCTCATATGTCAGTTTATAAAGAGGTAGATTCTGATTAATGAGCTTTTTCCATAGCCCAATATGTAAGACTTCAGTACGTCTCCAATGGAGCACATTTGTTCTCCTAGCACAGTGGTGGGCAACCTTTTTTTTCAACTGAGCCAAATCTCGCCAAAACCACAATTGAAATTTATTTTGAGAGCCACATTTTTAAAACTGAAAATACATAGGATGGTACACTGTTTTTAGTTTTTTTAGTTTCAATAAGTTTTTATAGTAATTCATCCCCCATAGTAATTCATCCCCCATATAGTAATTCATCCCCCATATAGTAATTCATCCCCAATAGTAATTCATCCCCCATATAGTAATTCATCCCCCATATAGTAATTCATTCACCATATAGTAATTCATCCCCCATATAGTAATTCATCCCCCATAGTAATTCATCCCCCATAGTAATTCATCCCCCATAGTAATTCATCCCCCATATAGTAATTCATCCCCCATATAGTAATACATCCCCCATATAGTAATTCATCCCCCATAGTAATTCATCCCCCTTATAGTAATTCATCCCCCATAGTAATTCATCCCCCATAGTAATTCATCCCCCATATAGTAATTCATCCCCCATAGTAATTCATCCCCCATATAGTAATTAATCCCCCATATAGTAATTAATCCCCCATAGTAATTCATCCCCCATATAGTAATTCATCCCCCATAGTAATTCATCCCCCATAGTAATTCATCCCCCATATAGTAATTCATCCCCCATATAGTAATTCATCCCCCATATAGTAATTCATCCCCCATAGTAATTCATCCCCCATATAGTAATACATCCCCCATATAGTAATTCATCCCCCATATAGTAATTCATCCCCCATAGTAATTCATCCCCCATATAGTAATTCATCCCCCATAGTAATTTATCCCCCATAGTAATTCATCCCCCATAGTAATTCATCCCCCATATAGTAATTCATCCCCCCTATAGTAATTCACCCCCCCTATAGTAATTCACCCCCCCTATAGTAATTCATCCCCCATAGTAATTCATCCCCCATATAGTAATTCATCCCCCATATAGTAATTCATCCCCCATAGTAATTCATCCCCCATATAGTAATTCATCCCCCATATAGTAATTCATCCCCCATAGTAATTCATCCCCCATATAGTAATACACCCCCCATATAGTAATTCATCCCCCATATAGTAATTCATCCCCCATATAGTAATTCATCCCCCATATAGTAATTCATCCCCCTTATAGTAATTCATCCCCCATATAGTAATTCATCCCCCATAGTAATTCATCCTCCATAGTAATTCATCCCCCATATAGTAATTCATCCCCCATATAGTAATTCATCCCCCCTATAGTAATTCATCCCCCATAGTAATTCATCCCCCATATAGTAATTCATCCCCCCTATAGTAATTCACCCCCCCTATAGTAATTCATCCCCCCTATAGTAATTCATCCCCCATAGTAATTCATCCCCCATATAGTAATTCATCCCCCATATAGTAATTCATCCCCCATAGTAATTCATCCCCCATATAGTAATTCATCCCCCATAGTAATTCATCCCCCATATAGTAATACACCCCCCATATAGTAATTCATCCCCCATATAGTAATTCATCCCCCATATAGTAATTCATCCCCCATATAGTAATTCATCCCCCTTATAGTAATTCATCCCCCATATAGTAATTCATCCCCCATAGTAATTCATCCTCCATAGTAATTCATCCCCCATATAGTAATTCATCCCCCATATAGTAATTCATCCCCCCTATAGTAATTCATCCCCCATATTAATTCATCCCTCATATAGTAGTAGTAAGTAAGTAGCAAGTAGTAAGCCAAGTCCCCCCTGTGTCAATTCACTTACCTTTGCTCCGCGCGTTCCTCTCGCCGTGTTGCCGCGCCGTTCCGGTCTTCAGGGCGGACTTTGAGAGGAGCCTAGCTCCTCTCACGTTCGTCACGCTGCCCCGCCTACACACATCCTGACAGCCAATCACTGGCTATCAGGATGTGAGTGGCAGCGAGACTGGCCAATCATTGCATTTGAGCGCGCTGCCCTGGCTGTTTTTTTTTTTTTTGGATCACGCTGCAGAGTCCCTGCCGCCCGAGGGGAGGGAGGGGAGCGGGGCGCCCGGCACACAAGAGCCGCATTAAAGCGTGTAAAGAGCCGCATGTGGCTCGCGAGCCGCGGCTTGCCGACCACTGTCCTAGCATAATAAAACAAAAGGTGAAGAAAATGACTTTCATTGTTTAGTCTTTCATAGTGTATGTTCTATTTGTACTGGGGAGGCTGAAAATTTGTACTGGAAGAGGGTCTTTTGTAGTATGGGGTGAAGGATTGGGCTTTGTGGGTGAAGGACTGGGCTTTGGGGGGGGTGAAGGACTGGGCTTTGGGAGGGTGAAGGACTGGGCTTTGGGGGAGATGGAAATTTGTACTAAGAGGAGGGGGAATTTTTACGTAGGGAAGGGAATTTTTGCTTGAGAGGTAGGAGATATGTGTCACATATTCTTGACCCATGTAGAGCTAGTTGTGTTCCATCAGGGAGATTTCCCTTCACGTCCTGTTTTGTTAAACTTTGTCACTGGAACCCCATTAGATGATTTCCCCTCTTGTTTCAGTAATATAATTTGGAAATTGATCTCACTGGCATCCGCTTGCAAGTACTGTTACCACTTAGTTGGATACTTTACAGTTATAGTAAAGTAAGGTTTGGCTCCCTGGTTACTCTGCAGATGGTAAATGTGTAGCGGCTGACTCAGACAACTGCTGATAATTATGGATGCATGTCAAAAGAAGTGTGTTTATCATTTGGCAGCCACATAGTTTTGCATTACACATACATACATTGTTACAAGCAATACAGTGCATTGTCTTCATCATTACCTGTAAACCATTGGGCGTCACAATCTTTGCTTACCAATCCATATGACATTGCTGCTAACCTATAGTGCACAGCAATCTAATAATTAGTGTGACAAACAGTGGAGTGAAAGGCAGGCAACAAGCCTCCTCTATTCCACTGGCTCCATTTCTGCCAGCAAGAAGACACTTTGGCAGCTCTGAAGAAGAGCCGTACATAGCAGTGTCATTGTCGTTAGTCATGTGACTCCTACATTCTCTTTGCAGAAGCCAAAGACCCCATATGTCAGTAGATGGTGGGTAGGGTGCTGGCAGGAGCTGATGATTGGTGGATGCAATAAAAATAACAAGCTGGCAAATATTCATAACAGCCTGAAATGTTGCATCCTTTTTAATGCTTAGGCCAATGAAACACAAGCCAGGTGGGAACTCTATGAGCAGTGTACCATGGACATGTTCCACAGATGACCAGGTATGGTGACTCCATCGGCCCTTTCCTATTCCCAGATCATTGATGTATTAAGAAGCAACAGACTGAAAAAGCCACATAACTGTTCACTCCTGCATGTTCCTTGTCAGTATAAGTGCATACAGCAGAGCTTGATTGGCTAAGAATGCTGACCCTCCTTCTCCCTTTGCTCTGGACATACAAGAGGCTGCTATCAAGATAGACACAGTTACCTACAGAATTTTAACCACTTGCCCTCCAAAGGATTTACCCCCCTTCCTGACCAGGTCATTTTTTGCGATACTGCTGCGTTACTTTAACTGACAATTGTGTGGTCATGCAACACTGCAACCAAATGAAATTCCTGTCCTCTTTTTTCCCCACAAATAGAGCTTTCTTTTGGTGGTATTTGATCACCTGTGCATTTTCTATTTTTTGCACTATAAACAAAAAAGAGTAACATTTTTGAACAAAAAAAAACATATTTTTTACTTTTTACTATTGAATGTGTCCAGTAAAAAAAAAAAAAAAAAAAAATTAATAAATAAATGTCGTCATAAATGTAGGTCAAAATGTATTCTACTACATGTCTTTGCTAAAAAAAAATCCCAATACGTGTAAATGAATTGGTTTATGTGAAAGTTATAGCGTCTACAAATGGCGGTATATATCTGGGAATTTTATTTTTTTTTTTACTAGTAATAGCGGCGATCAGCGACTTATAGCGGGACTGCTATAAGCGGGCATTCTGGCACTGGGGGGAACTGACTTGGTGTCACTGACATCCCCAGTGACACCAATATAGTGATCAGTGCTAATAAAAAGCACTGACACTGTACCAATAGTAGTGGGCAGGAAGGGGTTAACATGTGGGGCGATCAAAGGGTTAACTGTGGGCTGTGTGTGTGTTTTTACACTGCAAGCACACTACTTTTTATGGCTCTGCTATGCAAAGGCATACAAAGCAGTGTGCAGTAGCTGACAGGGGAGAGATCTGCATTGTTTACATACAGGTCTCTCCCCCGTCGGAAATACTCGGTGATCACCAGGTGGGGAATCACTGGCAGGGACCCGGTGATTGACAGCTGAGGCCGCGAATGGCAGCGCACGCGTCCACTACCCAGAATTGCAGAATCAAGTATGTATATGGGATTTTGTGCATCCGTGCCACTCTGCAGCAGTATTTTCTCAGTTTAAGCATTTTTTTCTGTTTTCTATTGTGAATAAAATATGATTTTTTAAGATTCGCAAATTATTGCATTCTGTTTTTATGTATGATTTACACAGCATCCCAACCTTTTTGGAATTGGGGTTGTACATTGATTGATTTTTAGTAAATGCATTACTGCATTAAATGGTGTTTTTCATACCAAACCCAGTGACCTCAGAAGACTACCACCGTGCATCGGAGTTCTCCACCATTCAGGACGCCAGTGGTGCAATGCAGGAGATCTGAAATCACAGAAAGGGCACTGCTTGAATTACAGGTAGCAATTTAAAGCTGAACTTCATGCATATAAAAACATACATTGAGACATGTCTATAATCATTAATGTATTGTATGTGTGAGTACCTAAATCTGACTTTATATCAGCCACTTACAGTCTACTGTACAGTGTATATACCAGATGTGTAGGAACCTGAATCTGACTTGGTATCAAACTCTTGCAGTCTCCTCTACAGTGTCTACAGCTGAGGTCAGAGAAAGAGAAGGAAAAGCAACACAAGGAGCCAGTCAGGTGTGTTACAGTGCAATGAAGATCCTCATAGGAATAGAGAGCAGAGTGAAAGACAACCAAGCTCTTTGGTGAGTTCTTTCACCTTTATAGGGTGACAATAGGAGTGGGAGTGGGGGCTGTAAGTGAAAGTGAAACAGCAGCAGAGAAGGAAAAGATCCTGTGCCAGGCAGGGTTGTGCTGTGGGGAACATTTGTTTAAATCTCAGGACTTAGTGGACAGAATACAGATCCTACCATAGGTAAGAAGAAAAAAAATGTATATATATATATATATATATATCTGTGTGTGTGTGTATTTAGCTGCCTGAAGTTTAGCTTTAACATGGCTGTAAAGGCTCCAGGTCTTTTACCTTCACGCATTATAAGCATGAAGGCAAAAAACCTTCTGTGTGCAGCAGCCCCCCCAGCCCCCCATATACTTACCTGAGCCCCATCATAATTCAGCAATGTGTACGAGAGCCTTGGCTCTTCAGGGAGCCGTTGGCTTCCACTGCTGTCAATCAATGAGAGAGAGTGGGGCCAATCCACAGCTCTGTGTGTGAATGGACACACAGAGCAGTGGCTTTGGAGCTCGGGTGCCCCCCTAGCAAGCTGCTTGCTTTGGGGGCATATGGCAGGAGGGAGGGGCCAGGAGTGTTGGCTGGGGAACTGAGAAGAGGAGAATCAGGGTTGCTCTGTGCAAAACTACTTCACAGAGCAGGTAAGTATAGCCTGTTTTTTTTTTTTGGGGGGGGGGGTTTTAAAGCTTGCCTTTAATATCACTTTAACTGTGTGTTGAAGTGCATGTAAACCTTGTATGTGCAGTGCACTATTTCTGTATCATTTCTATAATCGTATGGTCTTTTGAGAATATTATATTGAGTATATTAGTGGTGGATAATCTGCCCCACTGTGGTTACGTCACAATTTCATTATTATATGTCATATTCAAACTGATATATAATGACATCACAATGTTATTTAAAATCATGTCTCAAAAAAGAAGACAAAATTAGAAAGGAAAATCCCTGAGTTGCTTTAGGATTTTCTAGGAAGGAAACATTTTAAACTGAAAAACAAGCTTGTCAGCATAACCCAAGCAATCAAGGACTGAAGTTAATGTCATATGGGACAGGTGAACCACTCCAGCTGAGCCGCCAGTTGTCATATAATAGAGGCACAACCTACAAAAATCCATTAACTGAAAATTTACACTAAAAAAAAAAAGACAATGTTGTAGGCTTCCTGAGGTTTATATAGTCACCAGTGGGAGCATGGAGCCAAACTTTCCATTAACACTGGCTAATAATTGAATGTCAGCAGGGAAAGTGATAAATTAACCAAGTCATTAAACAAAGATTCACAGGCGTAGATGGAGAAAACTCTCTGCTAAATTGAAGTGAATCTCATAGTGTTCAGTGGCATTCTGACTTTCTTTTTGTAAAAGCTACAACTACAAGCTCATTTTATAAAGTAATCACTGACACTAACAAGCCTATTCACAAAGAATTTGCTAAGCGTTTAAGTGGTAATGGTGGTATGTACACTTACAGTGCAAGTCTGGATTTTTAAGCAGCACAACTGGGAGGAATGTTTGGTAAGAGAAGCTGCTACAGTAAATCTCATTTTATATATAATTCAAATATTGTATATGTACACATTTCTCAATATTGACCATACGCCTATCTATACCTTACATAATATATCGCCATAAACATCCTAGCTCAATTGAGCACTTGGTTTAAAAACAAACAATAAATTGTGACTATGTCTTATGCATTACCACATTTATATTAATGTGCAGTATGGAGGGTATGAACATGCATTGTTTTACTGGGATGCCAACACACCATAAGGCACACAATTTTAAACAGAAGCCTTTGATTTCAACACCACTATCAAGGTTAACATTTTTTGAAATGCAAGTTTACTATAGACATTTTTTTGTGAATTGGTATGTGACCTTTACTCATCCATGAGGGGGTGGTATCTGGGGTCCTCCTCACTTTTAAAAGGGACTTCCAGATTCCAATAAAGCCCCCAGACCCCAGTAATCACAGGCCAGGGTTGTGGAAAAGTGAACCTTGTCCTCATCAACACAGGGATGAAGTGTCCCCCCTCCCCACGTTGAGGGCATGTGGCCTGGTAAGGTTCAGGAGGGGTCATATACTCTACTTTCCCCTTTCCTGGCCAGCCAGGCTGCATGCTTGGATAAGGGTCTGGGATGGAACTGGGGAGAGACCCTACACCTTTTTTTTTTACCTGTATCTCCATACACTTAGTACACAGTGCAGAGGTCTCCCTCATATGATTTCCCCTTAAGGTCAAATGTTCTTAGCCTACTTTGTTAGACAATTTTCTCTATTGGTCAAAATTTTCCTTGGCTTTTATGGTTGCTATTTCTTCTTAGGATATAAAGTTAGGGAATGTTACATTCCCCTGGCAAAATGCAACAAATAGAAACTGATGTTACACACATATTACCAACATTATGGTTATTATTTGTGACTTTTGCATGAATGATAAGGCATTTGTAAAGCAAAATTTTTTATACAGCACAGTTGATTGAACAAGTGGCTATGCTTACAATGATGTAATACTTACCCACTCTGTGTGACGATATTTCGCAGAAAACCTCCTCTTCTGACAGTCCCATGGTGCTCCCAATCGCAAGTATGCAACGGGAGCTCACCAATCACTGCCGGCAACAGTGCTGGGAGCGTGCAGGGAGCGCACTATGAGCACACTAAGCAGTTTTAACAGGGCTACATATATGCGGCTGCTCAGCGTTAAGACCCATATATGTGTGTGACCAGAGTCAACAGGCTAAATAGGGAACATATTTTCTATGCTTGCAGCATCTTTTAAAGGGGTAAAACATGGGGAAATGTGCATGTACTGCTGTGATGTACTCATTTTGCCTTGCCATATGCTTTCTTGGTAATCATTTTGTTAGAAGCATAGAACAGCAATCCTATCAATTGATTATATATCTCCAGAAATAAAATTTATGTTCAAAGTAGCAATATACTGTATAAGTAAGAAGTACTCCGCCTTCTGTATAAATCAGCCCAGCCAAAACTGAAATGTTGGTTTTACTAGCTACTGGATGCCTAAACCTCTATGTTTTCTTTTGTCCTTTTTCTTATGTCAATAACTTTTTCTCTATTTCTGTTCTGTGAAATGGAGGCAAAATTGATTGTTCTCCTTCCATTTCTTCTACATGTTGAAGATTATTATACCACATTAAGCCACTAGAAGAACAATCATAGTGAATAAGTATCTCCCATGATCATCAGCTCCATCTAGTGACCATGTTCTGGTATTATCCTGAATATCTTTATTTTTTATGAATAACACTCAACCTAGAGAGAAAATAGCCTGATAACTTTGTTTTTTGCCCCCATTCTCACTGAACGTATGTTCATGCAGGTTCACAGGACAAATAGCTCTGCACATTTTTTTAAATACACCCCATATGTGTATGATGTTAAATTTTTTTGGAATTTTGTAAAATACATCAGACTTTTGAGATTCCAAGGAGTGCCAGCACAGAAACTATGGCAGAATGATCTTGCAACTGAAATTTCAAAGAGCAGTAGAAACATGCAGGGGTAATAAAGACACCAAATATAACTGAAATATCACTAGGAATAAAACGTCATAGTGTGACAAAATTTTTCCAGCCACAATAGTTGTCGTGTTTCACTTGACTGTCATATTGACTGTCAAATGCCTTTAAGTGTTTTCTATATTTTGTCTCTGCTCCTCCTTTTCTTTTGGTTTAGTTAATGCTGTATAGATAGCCCATCCCTTTTCCCAGAAATGCATTGCAGCTCTAGCCTCATGTCATGAAGTAGATGACATAATGATCTTTTGACCTATCGAATGTTCATTGTTGTAAGATTCTCTCAGTTTATGGAATAAACTTCGCAAGATCTACAAGATATCATCTCGAATGAGTCACTGACTGTGGTATCCAACTGAGATTGGGGTCATCGCTATCTCATCACAACTGTAAGTTACAGAGATCACACTTTCAATGCTTAGATTGGAGAGACAGAACAATAGTTAATGTAAAGTTCACTCAAAAACTAGTGTTACATTTGTGGTGTCATTTCCCATTGACCAATTAGTTGTCATACGAGAAATATAGTGTTGACCATCATATGCAAACAATGATCATTGTAATTTTACCATAATGGGGATATAGCATCCTTCTCTGTCCATGGCTTTTAAAAACTTGGAAAAAGAGAACACTGTAAGTAAAGAAGAAGGTGCTACTACCCGATAATCCAAATTGAAGCAAAAGGCCAAACTAGCACCATGCCTGACTGTGGCTTCCACACCCCAGCACAA